ATTTGATTCCGACGTTCATCACTGCGTGCATTCCATCACACTGGACTCATTATCATTCTGCGATTTTCCTAGACCTATTGTGTAAGCATTCCAAACAGCTCGACAGGTCAATGAAGCAGTTATAACGCCACAGTGGTATTCCAAAGCTAAGTTTGGAGAAAACAATTTTATCAACGCACGCAAATTCGTGCACTAATCTTGCTTCAAAAAAACTCACTGACATTAGTCAATCTCTTTACACTGTACTTTCCAAGCACATATCTACCTCGTCAACTAAACAAATTACGGAGCAATAAAAGCTCACACGAAAGTCCATGGTTCGTCGGTCATTTTCCATTTAGCCAGATTTCTTTTTGATCAAAATCCTGATATGCAAGAACAGTCCAGTAAATTCTGTCAGTGATTTTTTGCCAATTTATCGAGCTGCTTTTAGTGTTTGTTTATTTTCTGTTGAACAGCATTTTTTTATGTCAATAGCATTTGTGTCAAGGGCGAAACTTCACCTGTGCGGGTGCATCAAAGCACATTTTTGACATAACTTGACGTCGTAAGTAATCCACGGCCACAGTTGATGAACATGGGTTACTTCGGTGCTGCAGTTACATTTTTCTGTATGGTCTGTTCATGCCGCATTAATGTTAGTTTTCACCATATTTGACAAAAGCAAGGATAGGCATCTCAATAACCAGTCCACTGGAAAAGAGCGGCCACCATATTTAAAAAATGAGTAGAAATAGCTTTTACTAACACTGTGGGGATCATCCAATCAACTTAGAGACATTCGTGATGAGGCCTTAACTATTTGCTAAAATAATACAAGCGGAACCGTTTAGAGAACTTATCGGCTCTTATTAGGATGTTTACTCACTCGGATATTTCCTTATACTCCTACTGTGTTGCTTACCTTCTACAGTGGTCGTGTCGTATTTGTCGAAATCATTTAACTTTGCTATAAGGAGGTTCACAATCGATCACATTGACGGACTTAACTAGTAACCATTTACTAATTCTATTCGTGTTTCATGGAGTAGGTAACGACTTTCATGGTCTGGTGTCACTTACTTTACTCCAAGGCGTATCACACAAATCTTCGCCCACACAGTCTACTATAGTTGAAATACGAACCCAGGGTATGGGTTAGCGGCGCCTAAGGTCCGTCGTCCACTGCACAACAACTGCGAACATTATAAGCGTCTGCCTTCGCATATAATGGAAGTGGATTTAGTTGCATAACGTACTTAGCAAATCAAAACACCAACATAACAATGTGGGATTTAACACGAACTGGTTGTTCCAATGACATTCGCAGTTTCACAATTTGGATAGCTGTGTTGTGCCTTCCGGTCTATTCTACTAAACAACATCTGTTCGAGAACGGTCACCACTACTGCTTAGCCCATTCTTGAACGACTGCAGTCAAAGGGGAATATTCACATGGTTAAAGGTTTTACCGGTAATAAAGTTGTAAGATGAGGGCTGTAAGATGAGGGCTGTAGACAGATACCGTGTGTTCTGTCGGGTGGGAATACAGACAAATTTCCATTCGGCCGTTTATTGAACCATCCAGCATTTGCGTTCTGGTGAGCATCTGAAACTGTCTTGATTTCCAGCTCCGCATTTTATCCAACGATGACCTACAAACGACACCCAGACCGCCACTGATCGATTCGGCAGGTTACATTTGCAGGGTTTCTCACCTAAATGATTCCTCGAGATATTATACTAGGGGACACCAATTATGCTTCACTTTGTATATGAAATACCCTGACTAGTCAGATTTCTGGGAGAATCTCCCAAGCTAACAAAAAAGTTGGTTGCATCGTTAGTGTGCACTTTCTGTCACAACTAGATGGAAGTTAGCAAATTTTTATCCAAATTGTCATTCACTTTACCCTTAAACTTGTTTGAACCCTTTAAGTGATTTTATGTCCTGAGATTCCTTACCATTCACATCATCCCTAGTACTTCCCGATGTGGCGTTTCGAAACACCGTCAACCGTTATGCTTATAATTAATATATACATTCGTTGTACCACTAAATTCGCAGTTAAGTAGTCATTTAAGTATTAACTTAGCTCCAGCTACAGAGGCCTGGTAAAACCGACCAAATGCAACATATAGTGCACTGATGAGGAAGACAGAACTTTAACCTGAATTCGAGACTGCGTCTTACACTGACTGTTTAACTTTTTGATCATTCGCAGCATGTTTTCTTAACAAGCGATCGTGCACCACCTGCCAATTGCATTAACTTAACCAAATTTCAGACGCCATCGATTCCGGCTATGCATTAGTAATCCTGTTTCTTGATATACACAAAGCTTTCGACCGATTACTGCATAATCGACTGCTACAAAACTTGGAGAACTTTGGGATCCGTGATGCATTACTAACTTAGCTATCATCATAACTGAGTGATCGTCATCAGTAGTCACTTTAGGTGATGGTCGCTCTTTCCCAGGTTCAATCACCAGTGGAGTCATTCAAGGGAGTGTGTTCGCTCCCTTATTCTTTTTACTCTACACCAATGACATCACCAATTCTGTAAAATATGGTACATCATATTTATTTGCTGGGGATATCAAAATCGTCTATAAGCTTCGAAATGACGAGATTCACTGCACACTACTGCTCATTCAGGATGATTTAAATTCCCTTGAGTCATGGTGCTGCACATGGGTGATGAACCTCTCGGCTAAGAAATCAAGCATCATGTCTTATGGCTGCCGCGTCCCAGAAGAATCTACCACTCTAAACAAGGAATGCATCGCTGCACAACTGTCCACGCGATGTGTTGGAATTAGGTACTCGTTTACCTTCCATTTCTCCGAACAGGCCCAATACCAGTGGCACGTGCCAGACAGTCTACGTACAATATTTCAAACGAAATACACACAACTCGTGCTAGAGTTAAGCTTTTCAAGCTACTCACTTGTTCCATCCTCGAATACTGCAGCGTAATATACGGAAATCTGAGAAAGAGTGACAGGATTGCTATAAAGAACCTGCAGAAGTCATTTACTAAACATCTGATGGGTAAACACTCTGCTATGAGTTATCGAGGACGTTGCAATGAACTTCATCTCGAACCACTTTGGATTCAACGACTGAAGCACAAGTTGTTTCTACTTTTCAACATGTGACGCAAAATGACCTATGCCAACCTTCCTACACTCAATTTACAACATTGTTCAACTCGAGCGCTTTGCAACAATAATTTTACACTGAATATACTGATGGCTAGAAGGAACGTCTGCTCTAATTTCTTCCTAGTCAGATACAGCTATCTGTGGAATAAACTACCAATAACACTCAGGTCATGTGACAATGTGGTAACATTTAGTAGCAGACTTGCCAATTACCTTGATCTAACTACCCTAAGCTCTATATTCACATGGGAAACATCCCTTGATGAACTATTCTAAGAAGGGCCTAAAACATCTAAACACCAATGTTTCCATAATTAGTCTTTGGTCTCGGCCATCCACCAGAATGTTAATACATGAAACGTATATTCCAAACTCCACCTATGCGTGTCACCCATGCAAGAGCATGGATACTTCTGTGCAAATTGATCTGGGCCGCTATAGACACAATTTCATTCATCAAGAGAAATATACGTATTATTATTATCATTATTATTCTTATATGCCACTTAGCCTGGCACACTGACGTAGCAGTCGTACGTTCAAACAGCAAATAAATAAACCAAACTTGACAGATCCGCCTGACTGCGCAAACCCAGACGAGTGGTGATACATTAGAGTTGGTCACCAAAGAACGAATTGAGCCGTGTAGGACGATGCGCACTCCAAAGGGATCATGCATTGGCGAAATTTGACACCGAAATTCATTCAATGTAGTTAAATAATGCCGAAGAAAAGGTTGGGGAGCAATTTCTTCAAAAATGCTGGACGGAAATATCAAAACAACAAAATTGAGCCATACTACCATCTTTAGGTGATATTTCTGCACACTTCTGCAGGACAAGATAAACTGCCAGACGTACCATTTGGGCGTATTTCAGTCGCACACAGATCTAAGAATAAAACTAAAAATTCCATAACTTACCTTTCTAAATATAGCAATAAAGTTGCAACGCATTGTTAACATCACCAATCTTACCACCTAAGTCGTTTCGTCCTAATAAAACCGTACACCCAGTCAGCGCGTGTGATCGATCTACTACCACTAAGTGATCAATTTCTGTACCAATGCTGGTTCTAGTGAGACAACTTTTATGCACATATCAGTCATTCGAAAAGTGTAGACTGTTACCTTGCTCCTTCGGTGATGTGCTGTGACGCTTCGGGATCAATTGCTACAGAGCGTGCACGGTATTTACGACCAGAAAAGAAATGCATCCAGGGTATATGGTAAGGTTAGGCAAAAAACTGCTTTAGGCGTGACAAAATGTTCGTCGAAAATGTGTCCAACTGAGACGGTCACTCTGATAGCTTCTACGGTCACTGCCGTGTACAGTACTGGTGGGAAGACTTATAAACAAAAGTCAAACAGGTCATGAAGAGCACATCAGCGTCCTTGAGAGTAATAAAACCAATTATTAATAATAAAAATAGTCATAATTGTTCCACGCCCTACTGAGGAATCTTTATGTATTCTACAAACAGCTGATCTCGTACACACCTCGAAACCACCATTTAACCAGCAGCATAATTTCCTTGATAATGAGACGAGTTCTGACAGGAGAAATGCCAACAGTTAATTCAGGAGTTGCCTGCCCTACCATTGGTTTCCCCACTTCTCGATAGCAAGCTTACAGCGCATCGGTTGATACTGGTGCCATTTTTGTATATTGGACCCTACTACGCTTATTTATTTATTGCGGGGAATAGAGTTCATTACACAACCAGTCTTTCTTTTCATAAAATTGGAATATGAAGTATTATAACGCGGTTAGTTTAGACAAAATAAACAAAGTTACAAAACTGGCTTTGCAGAAAGGATTCAACATACGAAGTTTAATTGTCAGGTTCCAATCATAATGTCTCCGTGAGTTGAGCAAAAAAGATAGGACCTGTTATGTCATTATTAAAATGACGATTGACATCATCATTGGTTTGGTTTCGTGTTGCTTCTTCCGTATTATCTGATATACTTGATTTAATTGACATATCTGTGATGGCCCCATATTCCAGTGGAACCACTGGGTCTAATGCTGTACATTCTTCGTCCGGACCAGCTCCGATACGATTCATTTTTGGAGATGGGAGATCGTGTAGCGATACCATCGAGGCCTCTTCAACTGTAATCGGTAAGGTGTCTTTGTTAGTATTAGAAGGGTCGAAGTCCAGACGATCAGTAGATCTGTGCGACCCTGGTTTATCTCGCGCACAAGCCTGCCCAACCCCAACAAGGTAGGCATCACATGTTTGCGTTTGTGTGTGTTTTGGATTTAGATCAGAAAGCTTCGAAGGATCATCATGAAGATCGGCAACTTCGGCCACTGTATGGACCGGCGCTGACTGGTGAACATAAGCTGTTGATAAGCTATTGGCGTCTAAACTTTTCTGTGGGATATTTAGTTCCCTTGGAACGTTCAAATCACTTGTAGTCATCTGTTTATCCTGTAATTTACTGGAGGCCTTCAGTGAATCACTTGCACCGTCAGACACCAAAAATGAGACTGTTCTTTTGTGTTCGCGTCTGGAATGACCTGTGCGTCGATCGTGTGGACAGCATCCATTAGATGACTCAACTGACCTCTTCGACTCATTTGTTTCTGGATGCTGATGAATGCATTTCACCACGACCTCCCTTGAAACCCCTGGAGCACTGTGCGAACTGGGCTTATTGTTAACTGAAAATGATCCGTATGGGAGAACGGTTTCAACCTTGTCGGACCCAGATCCTTTTAAACGCTGGTGTTGCCTTTTTACTGCAGTTGAACTAGCTACGCAAGCGACACAGGATTGGTTTGCTGATCTTTTATCTACGCGCTGCTTATGACCGCCGGAATTCATGTGCTCAGAACTTCGAGGTAAACTTACAGGATGTTCGTTTGAAGCAAGTGTTGAACCGTGGACACAATGGGACCGATCTCTCATAGTTTTGTTATGTGCGTAACTTGATCGTCTGCGTAGGAGAGCAGTGAACAACAGAACGGTGAGAACAAGTGCCAGTATGACACCCACAAGACTAGATAAAAGTGCGGGAAAGTATGTGCGCCTGGTAAACGCTAGATCACATTGCATTTCGGCTACGTAGGGCTCTTTTAGCCGCATATCTTTTGGTAAACTTGCATTTTTGATGCTTTCCGTTTCAAGTTGCATATCAGGGTCATTTGGTTGACCAGGCGCTCCGTAACTGCCACCCAAATGTCTCATCCTTTGTCTGATAACCCGCAGACAAACCAGATACTGTGTATTCGGCCTCAGGTCCCTCAGTACATAACTTTGATGCGTAGGCTGACTGATACCCGTCCTTTCAGAAATATCCGAATCTCCATCCGCATAGTATAAGATCTGTCGAAGAAAAACACGTAGCGATTAGTTATGCAAATGCACAGAAAACGGAAAGTTTTGAGAACGCCATATTATGATTAATGGCCTATAACCTGGTTTGCGAATTGTATAAATCATTACCATTAATAGGGAGCAAACCTAATTCAATTATCTTATAGTAAGCACAATGTGTGCTATATTTAGTATGATAAGAAGTTATGGAAAATATGCTTGCTTGCTACAACGGCATTTCACTAGCCAGCTCAACTAGTTGAAAGCAAATATAGTTGGATCAAGGGAGTAAACTTAACCTGCATTGATAACCTATAGTATCGTCCAAGATTGCACTGAACAGTTTAATTAACTCGAAGTTTCCGACAAAAATTTGGAATAATGATAAGCAGCAATAAGTTTTAGATCAGAGTTGAGCTGTACGAAATATTCAAAATTTTATGGCAATGGAGACAAGTAACCCAGCCGTACATCAAATAGACATTAAGCAGTGATTATAATAACATGGCATAGGAAAAAGGAAGATAACACTCGGATAATGTTATGTACAATGTATCACTGAGCTATTCTTCCAGTTCAGTGATTTAAAATTTACCTGTATAATTCAGATTAGTTACTTAAGAAACACAAACAAGTTATAAATCTTTCGTTATCGAAGTCGCTGAACACAAATCTTGTTGTGGCACATTGGTAGGTGGCCGTGTTCGTTAGCAGTTACACGAACGCTGCATTTTGCTGTTGCTACTCTTGCTGACTGTTGAAGTAGACAAGTCTTTCAAAGTGTCTTACACCTTATCCAGCGGCGTGAACAAGTTGTTGCAACATAGGTAACGGATAGTTGCAGGTATGACAAAAACACGGTGCATACAAGTTCGTGTTGAAAATTGTGAGACTGAGTTCTTGTTTTTAATCGGAAGATGAGAGTAGCGTAGTCTACACGCATTAGTTTTAGTACCAGAAGCAAGCGAATGTACAGACTTCTCTTCACTCGGTTCTGTGCTTTAACAATTGCGAGATTTAGGCTTCTCCTACTGATCGAAGCACAGTAGAACGTAGAGAAGAGCTATGCTATAACGCTTAGTGTAAAAATGAAAATACTATACGATTGGAACTATTCCTGTGGTTCTTAAAGCTTACAGATAGGCTACATTATCATTAACAATATTTCGATGGTACAAAACAATTCACAACTTCAAGTCGTTTTGAAAGGCGAAACTAACCCATTAGTACGTTGAAACCGGTTGCTTCTAACATCTATTAAAGCCTATCACATCAACCAATATGATCACATCCTGGACTATCATTAGACAGGCTATTCGTCCATTTATTTCCTTGATATATCAATCATTTTATTTTTAGCTTCACTATATTCTTTTGTTGGTTGCGTTTTTGTTCTTCATTGTTGGTCACGATTGAGCTTGTCTGCTGAGGTGACGCAATGAAGCCTCCACCCAAAGTGTTTACCCACAAAATGCAGGAAGCCAGAAAGACCCACTGGTGAATTTATAATAGGTACTGAAAAAGACAGCACACTGTGTATTGTTAAATCCACACCTAGTGACACCTGCCGCCAAATCTCGGCACATTCCGTGCGCATGTGCAAACGACTATACATGACGAACGGGCTGACTGGTTGAGTGAATAATGTACGATAAATAGCCCAAATGATAATACAAGTCGGTGGTAGCTAGCCCGCTTTCATGCAACACCGACACACGACCAGATAGGGTATGGATGTGCAGGTGAAACATCTCGTGGGACTCTCCCACATGGAAGCAGGTCCCTCTCTGTCTTGAAGTTGATTGGCTCTTTTGCATTGTTACTTCAATTATACCCACTTATTGTCGCATCGACATCACGCATTAATTTGTTTCTTCCACCACAATCTTGATTTTATTGCAGTGTCTTTCTTTACTAAATCTATGCCAAATTCAGGTTAACTATCTGTATGGTTTCCTAACCACCCTCTTTTCGATATTTTGTATATGACTGTAGTTTGTTGGCCACGCCTTGATGATTGTGGCTAGCATCGTAGGGAACAAAGGTTTATTCCTTTTATTATCAATGTAGCTACTTCTCCCATCTCAACACCAACACTTCGGATTCGCGACTGGGCAAGCCATAAATATGTACCAGCGAGTGAAACCTGAAAAGAAAGCAACTGAGCCCACTTATTCTCACAACAACTCCACGAACACACACTACATCGTGTTTGATAGGTTTAATTAGATATCCGGGTAGACAGACGTACAAGCACTTCACTCTGCCTTATCTTGCCCCTTTTTGTTTACTGCCTTACATTGCTCGGTCAACGAAGATGTAGCACATACAATTCAGAAGCGGCTACATTGATACACTAATCCTATATTTCTCTCCTTTTTCGCATTTAAGCAAAACTTCATTGACTATAGATAGTTTACCCTCTATTACTCTTGCATATCATGTACCACGTTGTGCTACTCATCTGATTTTACTTGATGACACTTATTGCTCTATCATCCCCTTTCACCTTCCTTCCCTTTTCATGAGCCTGTTGCCTTCATGGTGGCCCCGATCCGCACCGGAAAAGACAGACATCTCTCGTGTTCTGATAGGAAACAACAATGAAAACCCCTAAAAGTCTTACCAAACGTTACCAGTACATATCTGTAAAACCTCCAGACATTGACAACCCTACATGCTTGAGCATGTCTCACATGTAAATACCATCTGTTCCTTTGTAGACAAGGTTTCTCAATAAAACATGAAATATCCACAGCATTATTAATTAAAGGAGAATGATGGATTTTCAAGAAGGAACAAAGCACAGGAAAACATTCGACAGTTCACAATTTCTGCAATCTAAATAAAGAGAAAAGCAGTTTGGACTCTGGCTGACGTCTGACTTTTTGATAGAATATCGAATATGAGTTCAAAATTTAGTGTGCATAAAACCGATGCGAAAGCAATGTAGAAATAGAAAGTTTGTGTTAAGTTGACTAAGGAGAAAAACCTCGTATTGCTTGCTGATAATCTGCTGAACCTCATCAAGAGTGATCTTTTGGAATTACGGATAACACCTAGCAAATCATTTGGTTTTGTATGCGATCCAACGAGAAAAGCAGAGCCCTAAGTGATATATGACTAAGTCACTTGACGCAAAAAGCAGAGGTGGATTATGTTAGGGTCTGTTTGTTTCCCACGCGCAAACACGGCTTGAAAGTAAGCCGTTTAGAGACTGCTATAACGTCAAGCTGTCGTGAAGGAAATTCCATTTCAAAAGTTCCGGTCTAACACGGAAAATTGACAGCGTATAATAGTTGTAAGAGGATAGGAACTTGTCACAAAATAAACGGCATTTGCGGAATCGAATTCACTGCTTTCTTGATGGATAATCACTGATGGAACACACGCATATATATATATATATATATATATATATATAAGGTTCACCACGGAGGAAACATAGTTGAGCTTTTACTGTCCTGTCTAATACCTACAAATAAAAATGAGGATTTAACTTTGCAATTTCTATGTCGAACCCACTACTCTACGGACGTGTTTTACCGTTTGCCACCGAGCGGGCGGAAATTAGCAACAGTCGTTATAAACTCCGGTGTTTTCGTCCGTTAACACTGCGGAAAGTTGAACTGCTCTGTTATTTAATCTGCAGGACTTGACGCGTTTATGTGGGCATGTGGGGAAAATATTTCTGTGTCACTAAACGGTCCTGGCTTTAGAGCGCAGTAACTTCAAGGATCAGGGAAGGCTGCGGTCGTTAGGGGAAGCTGGACTTGAGCGGTAAGGTACAGGCGCACAGCATTTACTTGTTAGAATCAAAACCTGATTGGTAAGCTTTAGCTCTACTATTATGATTTATTAGGTTAAAGAGCACGCTACTGTCTGTAACTGTGTAGCTACGTACTAAACCAGCACTTAGTGAGCAGTATCCTAACTGGCTTATGACGGACGAAATGTGTGGTTCTGGTAGAAGAGACAAATGTGAGTGGCAATCAGTGCTTAGTTCCGCAGTATTGGCCAAAAGGCCTTAACAACAGCCGCTTCGCGAGGTCACATGACAAGGCCGACCTCTAGTTTACACATCGAATGAAGCGCTTCAACTCTCATCAATGCCGGACATTGTAAATCGCTTCCTCTCAACCAACGGTCTGCACTCGAGCTGCTTAATTTGAACAGTGGCTAACACCTTATGTCTGATGGATAGACAGGCAAACACCCGGATACAATTCGAATGTTATCTTAAGTAATTTTGCAAACTAAGGAAACTGTTTCCATAATATATCAGCAAATGCTGACCAATTTCTCGCGTGGATTTTGGTCTGGATCAAGTGATGTGGTACACAGGGTAAATGAGGCTGTACTACATATTTTCAGTGCAGACGCACGCTTTAAACATGATTTCTGGCGGTTCACCTGCCGCGCTGTTCCACCACTTCCCGGGCGCATTCGGTTAACCATGCGGAATTGTTTTCAGGTTGGCCAAACTGCAGTTTTCCACTGAGGTAAGCAAAGCATTCAAATGCAATTGCTTGCCAATAAGTGGACAAACTGTTGACATCAGTCTAACTAGTGAACCAGAGCACGCAGTGATATGCGATAACCGAGGGATAAACCCACTGATGTGAAGTTGGCAGAGCCGGTAATGACCACCATAGCTGTCTGATCCAAACTCTGATAGTTACCAACAGTGTAATTCGAATGGTTTCACAATTTCTTTGTCGCTTGGTGAAAAGCAAATGAGAATTCTCAAGTATATGAAGCTAAGTGGTTATTTAAAATAGTTTGATCGTCTCCGATCCAGTTGCGTGGTTCAATACCTTTGTCTAATGATGCTTGTTCTTTAAGAACTAATAAGGAAAAACTAAAGGTTACCAGCTGTAGCTGCTAATCATTTTCCTTCTCTGTTCCTGAGATTTTTTCCAGATCATAAATGGAATGACTCTCCGAATCACATAAACTAACTTTTGCCCGATATAATAGCTTTTGGGCCAGTGCAGGTGAGCTCCATCGCCAAGTGAGTTGTAGATTGTGGCTGTCCGTAAATGATGGCATCACTTGGAAATCCGAAACTAGGTGAAAATTGTCAGCTGGCATCTCGATCACTGATATCGCCGCCATAGGTCACATGGTTAAAGGATACGTGGGACAAAAGAGACGTCATTGCACGTTTTCAGGAGTTTGTCACAATTGAATCTGAAAAAGGACACAGATGAAACATCGTGTATGGCGTGATAGGTACTGTGCAATGTGGATAGATTACGGTAGTTTGCATAACTCAAATATGTTAGAATTAGTTTCTTGGACAGTTGCTGTACATCCACGAAATCTGATCAGATGCTCATGCTTTGTCACGAGTGACTGAGTAGTCTTTCTGGTCATCAGCATCATACACCTTAAAAGTTTGAAAGTATTTATTTGCGATACTAAAGGTCACGACCGATTGGTATGGAATTTAACATCTCTATGGTGACACATGCAATGTGATGTTCGTTCAGCGATGTTTTTTATCGTGATTTAAAAAACAACTAGCTAAATAGCAATGAGTTTTGTCACCATCGATTCCGCTGAAGTCGCTTCAATGAGTCCTAGCTTTCAAGTGTTCACAAGCATAAAACATCCGTACGAGAGTCTGACCACTGATGCTGATTGGTTTATCAACAATGGTTTGTTGTTCCCTGCAGACGCAAATGAAAAACTAAACGCAATATTACTTGTGGATTTTGTGAGTAACGTAATGTTCGTAGAAAGTAGAAGACACGATTAAACTTCACACAACAATCTGCCTCGACGGGGATTGGAACCCCGGTCCCAAGAATTTCCGGTCCGCTGCTCTACCACTGAGCTACCGAGGGCAATACGTCGCGCACCAAGCAGAAGTCATGTATTAACTTGCGCACCTATTCGTCAACCCTCGGTAGCTCAACGGTAGAGCAGCGGACCAGAAATTCATGGAACCGGGGCTCGAATCCCCATTGAGGCAGGTTATTGTGCGAAGTTTAATCGTGACTTCCACTTTCTTTAAACGTAGTATCACAAACGAGCGAATATGTTCATATCACGTGTTTATTCTGACTGCGCAGTCCTCCATCGTCTAACGCAGTCCTTTAACCAATAGATTGGGTCCTCCAAATCTGAAGTGATACTGGTCAAGACGAGATAGTTATGTGAATCCAGTGCACAGAAACCGCTGTGTAAATTGTATCTTTTCATGGGTCGAAGAACATAAGCTACACCGTAAATGAACTGTATTTCGTGCAAACTGGCCTCCAGAAGCAGTGGACACAGTAGCTCACTTTTTGCCTCTAAGAATTTTGACACATATTTTTGCGGTATACGAACATGATTTTTTATTCATCATTTTGTAATGTCC